ACGACCTAGATAGACGTAACTGGAGCATTCGGAGATTGTCGTTCCGTTGAGCGTGAATGGGGCATTAGAAACCCTATCCGTTCCTTATGAACATTGTTTTCGTTAGATTCAGTTGAAGACCAATCTTTCCACAGGCGTTATCGAAATCGGTCAACATTCGTTCCGCTTGGCTGATGTTTGGTGTTATGAGGACGATGTCGTCAGCAAAGCGAGAGATGGTTTCAATTGTCGACCGTCAATTTTCACTTCCCATTTCGTCCCATTCTAATGTTCGCATGACGTTTTGTAGGGTGGCAGTGAATAGTTTTGGCGAGATTGTATCGCCTTGTCGAACCCCTCTTCTTACGTCAATGGTGATATTGTTGTAGAATGGAGATATTCTGGTCGTGAAATCTTTATAAAGCTCACGAAGGATCATTATGTACCGAGTAGGGACGCCCTGGTTATCCAGAGCCTCTATAACCGCTTCTGTTTCCACTGAATCAAAGGCTTTCTTCAGATCGATGAAAAGTGAGACAGAGTGGTTGTTTGTACTCTCGTGAAACTTCAATGAGTCTTGTGAATCGTGTGGATGTGGTCCATGGTACTAAATCCTTTTCTGAACCCTGCTTGTTCGCATGGCTGTCCTTCGTCCAGTGTTCTGTCAATCCTGTTTAGGATGACTCGAGTAAAGAGTTTATAGACAACGGACAGCAAGCAGATTGGGCGATAATTGCCTATGTCGTGAAGGTCTCCCTTTTGAACAACAATACGGTCTTGCTGGTTTTCCATTGAATAGGGACCTTGCATTCTGACAGGTAGCGAGTGAAGAGCCGAGCCAGGGTGTTGATGAGAACTGGCGGCAGGTTCTTCAGGTGTTCTGGTCTAATCCTGTCTGGACCGGGTGTTGTTCTGTTCTTCACCGACGATATAGCATGTCGGATTTCGGAAGGGAGGACCGGTGGGACACATATTCGTCCTCTTTCAATTTATATGACGGTAAGAGGACATGGCTAGCGAAGAGATCCGAGTAGTATTGATGGATGATTTTCTCCATAGCCCTTCTCGAAGCTGTAAGTGTCCCGTCAGGGTATCGGAGTGCAATCATCTTGGTCTTATAGTTGGCGAAGCCTCGCTGAGCTTTGCGAATGCTCTTCCCAGCTTCTGACAGCTTCTGTCATAACTGCTGCTCTTCTCTCTTTGAGGTCTTCTTTTATCGCTTCTCTGCAGCGTTTTCGCAAGTTCGGACGTAAGGTTTCAGTTGCTCTAGCTCGTGGGATTCCACGTTGACGTATCAGCTCGAGTGTCTGCGGAGACAAGCGTCTCTTCGTGACCTTAGGACTCTCGGCTTTTATAGCGCTAACGTGAAGATATTCAACGAGTCGATCGTATTCTTCGTCGATGTTGTCGACAACGGTATCTTCCCAAGATCCGACTAATTGATTTGAATACATCCCAGTTCATGATAATTCTGGACTTCGTTGTTTGAATTTATCGGCTTTCTCTCCTCTCCTCGAAAACGGAACTCTGCGCGAAGTGGCAATGGTCGAGGTCTGATCCCGTGTAGAACTTAGGAACAACAGCGACGTCGGTCAGGCAAAACCTTCGATCTACCAAGATGTGGACTATCTTCGTTATAGTACTCTCCATTGGGAGACTCCCACGTCCATCGCTGAGAGAGAGGCTTTTGAATTGCTGAGTTACCACGGATGGTTTGGGTCGTCATGATAAACTTAGATAGCTTCTCATCCCTGTTCATTCCATTCTAGTCCTTAGGTCCCTATGTGACGTTCTTCAGACGTTCTTCTAGATTCAATTTTTTGCATTAAAATCTCCGCAATGACCTTTAATGTATGATCTTTTCTGAAGAATCTTTCGAGTTCCATATAGAACGCTTCGACTTCGTCTTCGCAATAGCTTGATGTTGGTGCGTAAGCAACGAAGATTGTGAAAGCCGGCATAGAACCACATCGTTTCAACCGTAATCTTCCGATACGGGTTATTAGTTGTTCGAACGAATCGATGTTTCACGGTCAAATTCGATTTGACGAGGGCGCCAATGTCGCCGACACCTCTGCTATCGCATGTTCTAATGAACAGTTCTTCTCCGGTGTCATAAACAGCGTGAAAAGGCTGGCGTCTTCACGTCTCAGCCAAGTCAGTGGTACCTTATCTTTCTTGCTTAAATCAGTAGACCTTCTACAGCAGATTCGTGAACAAGGATTCTAGCATTGTAGGTACAGATTGTCATTTTAGTCTGTTTCGTTTTTGGCAGCCTAGTTCGGCCTTGAGATTTTAGCAGCCTGTCCGTACTCGTCCTACCTGGCTCTGCCGTACCACGGGCTCTCTCGGGGTCAGGGGAATGAGGCTCTTATTTGTTACTGCTTTTGACATTTTGATACACAACGTATAGCTTTCCAGGCCTTAAACGTGGGGGCTGAGTACTCACGAGTAGCTTGCCAGTCTCTCTCGGAGGAGCGGGAGGAGCTTATTCATAAGAGACGACTCTCAACCCCCTCTTATGTACTCCCCAGCCGCCTGATTGCAGGCTTTTGGCCGACTCGACTCGTAAAAATAGAGTTTTGTCAAGTCGGCGCTGTAGAAGCAGGGAGCTAATCCTCTGAATCCACCTGCGTCTCTGGGAAGCACACGGCCGCTTTTGGTTTGCGTTCATTCCCCTATCCACCACCTGGGGACGCCACGTGCCCTTGCGACTAACCTGTCGGGATCTCTCAAAGAGGGAGGTTTGTGGACAGAGTTAAGTATGGGATAAAAAGGACTGAATGGGATTGAATTGAAAAAACCCCTAGTTTTTGGAAGACTCATTGCTTGGTGTAAAGGAAATTAAATGTGGTTGTGTGATTGAGGAGAGCACATCAAACATTTTACATGGTTTGCAATGAACATGAGGAACATATAGGACGAACTATGGAAAACAATTTAACAACGGAATTAGCAGCAACGGAGCGTCTCGGAGAAGCCATAGGTTAACTGTCGTATGCTAGTACCTTTCGATAGCAGTCTCGAAGAACTCAAAAATATGTTTGCTTTTTAGAAAGACTCTTCTGATAGCGCTGTAGAAGTAAGAAAATATTTGTGTTTCACACGTCGCTGGTTAGAGCACTTTCATTAGACAACTTTTAATCATTCAATAGCTTTTCGAGGACTCTAACGCTTATTCTTTGAAAAGGACCGTTCCTCTGCAGTGTAGCAAGGAAATAAGATCGACTTATACTTGCCAGCATGTGTTCTTTGGCCGATTCACGGGCAGCTGGGAAAGACGGTAAGGGTGCTAGCGTGACGATTGATCGATTTCCTCACATGAAAATGCGATGTTTGTTACTCAATTAAGAATTGCTTCTCACTTTCAAGACAAACTCTAGATTGAACGTCTGACTCTGATGCTACAACAGTTTCTTTACACCTTCATGTGGTTCTTGTGCTTTCAGCAAAGTAATAATAGGTATCGCAGCTGATGTAAACCCTAATTTTATTTCGAATTTCACATTATTATAAAACGGTCTCCTACCCAACTACGTGCGGCTCTAGTCAGTGAGTTTGAGCTTTCGTTTGATTACGAACGGTCTTTTGAAAAGCTCTTGCCCAACGAATGTGGTCGAATATCCATTTTTCTCTTATAACCAAGAAATACCAGAACTATTCAATTAAAGCTGTGAATTTATGGTGTTCACCGCGCTTTAAAATATCTAGGAAAACGCTATTATAACGTCTTTTCAGATCAAGATAAAGAAGACCTTTAGAGAATTAGTTGTTTTGGTTCAAGTTGTCAACAGCATAATGTCGGCTGTGTGCTTCTGAATACGACAATCTTCTTGATAACAAAATTTGTTAATATTTATGTTTATGACATAGAGCCGTTTTTAGCAGACGTATTTTCCTACTTGCACTAGATAATTTTACTGCACAACAATTTTTTTTCCTTTTGCCAATTGAGACGATAAAAAATTGTAAGGAACTCCCTGGGTGATATCTGATTTAAAGAGGATCCACGAAGTCTATGGAGTATAGCTATGTATTTATCATATTTGTGCAACGAACTAATGTTCGGCGTATAATGGCAGAATTTGCATAATAATGATTTTGAGCCATGCATGTGGTTTGTTATGGGCATTTATACAGTGCGATACGCGTGTTTGGGCCTTCAGCTCGTCACATGCAGGATTCCTCTTCAATCATTCAGGATCTCGGCGATATATCCCTTATACAGAGTGAGCGAGGACGGATGTTTTATGCTAGTCGTTAAGTGTTGAAACCACCGAACGGGCAGCGTTGTTCACGTCGATTGCTCTTGAGCGGTAATCATAACACATCATGCCTTTCGAACCGATTGAACGAAAAAGCACCATGAAACTGACGAAGCTACAAGAGTGAAATACGTGCATCTCACTTTACAAGTGCCCATGAGAGACATGCGGTCTGCATGGCTCAAATACATCAGGCACATTGAAATTTGAGCGTGGGCTCGATAACACTCGAAACGAAAGGTATGATCCGGAATATTTTACGTGTTTTATGCTGCCAATAAGAGGTTTGAAGGTTCGAGAATCGATAACCACTCAAAGACGGTGACTTCTTGTAGATGTTACGTGAAGCCGATTCAAATGAGTAAGCATTAGAAATGTGAATTAACTAGAACATGAATTTGAAGAGGTACACATATTAGTTTGAGCAGAAAGTTCTGGGAAATCTTTGAAAGCTTCATTTTTTGGCATCTTTGTGTCGTTTTATATTGATAACTTCGTATATTTTTTATTCATGATATATTTCAGCTCCAAAATGTCCGAGCTTCAGTGAAAGCTATATTACTGAAACAAATCCCAGAGCTGAGTAAAGCTTTCTTTGACAATCTCGTGTCTGTTTGAAAAGAAGGCAAAATTTATGGACCAATCCAGAAATTAACTGGAAGTCGGGTTTGGGAATAACTATATGTCTTTGCTGATTCATTCAATTTCACAAGTACTGTTGCCATGCCCTATGATGTTGAGTGATGCGCGAGACTTTGACGTCAGGCGGGAATCGAACCTGCATTTCATCCTTTCCGGCAGCGCGTGCTAACCAACTGCGCTAGCGACGCCTTGTTTTGCCACCACTCTTCCTTCGTTGTTACAGATCATACCACTGCAAAAAAGCGGTCAAGAAAGAGGAATGTCTGTTGGTCATTATTGACATAATATGCACTACTTTTCACCCCACTATCAGCTTCTATGAGATTTCCCTAAGAATACTTCTGCGTAGTCAATAGTACAGTGTGATGTATCATGCTGAGTGATTAGAAGTGTCACATGATTGTTATTAGTTTTAACTTATACGATGTAAAATCCTGATTCATGCTAAGTGATTAGACGCCCTTGATATAACGCCCTTGATATAGCACTTATAAACATCGAGCGCTTGCCCCTGACAAAAATGCAAGCTTCTAGCAGAGCCGTCTGGTTTATGAAAACATCTGCCTTGACAGATTGGTAAGCGATCCAAGTCTGCTAACATTATGTCATGTTTGAACCCGTTATGAGGTCTGGTGGCAGCACTTATAAAGTGACCTGAGAGATTCAGAAGGTCGAAACAGCTAGTTGTCTAGCGCTGTATAAGTGCTCTTATCAGACCTCATAACAGGCTCAGACAACTCATAATGTTATCAGATTGTCACTGCTATGAACGAGGTCTATATAAACGGTCGGGCGTAGCGTACCATTGTAAGCCATTTTATAGATCTAATTTTTAGTCATCTCCTCTATAATGTCTTTGCAGTCGAGGGTAGGGGCAACTTTGAAGCGTTGAGAAGCACCAAACGCTTTAGACTTCCATTAATAATCGGCTCATGTGAGTTCACTAGCCGGCAGCATATAGCCCATTTATGTTTCATTTTCTTCCCAGAACCGACTATCGATTGCTCTCGGCATTAAGTGAATAACTCCGTATGTTCCTTATTCAGTAAACACAAGGATGTTAAAAGACGATTTATTGAAGTACAATACGTGCAGTACATACATAACAGATGGCTGACGTTTCAGTGGTCTTGCCTTCTTCAGAGCCGTTTTCTTGTTCTGCTGTCCACTAAATATGTAGATCGGTTGCACTGAATCTTGCATGGACGAGGAATTCAAATATGAAAAGTTATTTTGGATGAACTGTCGTCGTCTTCCAACTTGGCGGTCCTCGAATGTCTTCACTTTTCAAACAGATCTTGTCGTTATAGAGGAAAAGATGTTTTAGTAGATTCTTATCACTTTCTTCTTCTCGTAACTGAGATTCTGACGGTCGAATCACACGCTTTTTTCGACTTCTTCTGCACTGCTGTTGTACAGCACAACTGACTGTTAGAGTCGTACTGCTGCTTGCCTATTACACGACAGCAACCTGTAATGTGATGGCATTCAGCTTATCTACACAAACACTGCACACCTGCAGTTTCATGGTGATATTACCGGAAATTTTGCCACCCATATCATCGGTTTGCATGTTATAGCATGTCGTGAGAGCGATACGTCTAAAGCCCGATTACTAACCATCAAATATCTTCACGCAGTCGCTAACGTTACATAATCGTTTGAACGCATTATGATCCATCTCTAAGAGTTAATTAGAAATTATAACATTACGTCATCTCACCAGTTCTTCCGTACTCAGTCATCGGGTCCCATCCACTTTTGCGTTTTGGAATTCGACCGCACTTTTGAGGGTCGGAGTTGTCTCTTTTCGAGCGGCGTACACTTTCGCGGTGGTTAGTTGTCGTCGCTCCGCCTTGAGAGTGGCAGGGGGGGGGGGATCTGTGTTAAGCAAACTCAAAATTTAGCAGAATGCTAATCAGTAGATAGGAATAACGATTAGAAGAAGAAGTTAATGCACAACTAGTGCATGCGGATCGAAGCATGGCAAAAACACCCCCAGTAACTGCATTTTTGCACCCAGGTACAGATACAATATTGTTGAGGATTTTTAACTTACACAAGGTTGTTAACGGTCTTTATTCACCTGACGTCTCCATGTTTTCGTCTTTCTTAGGCTCCGATGATCCAAGTCGATTGTCACCAGTCGCTCGTCCTCGCGTCTCGATCTTGGATGACATGAATGTTCTTCGGTGGAGCTCGCTGGTCTTCGAATATCCTGCCGAAATTTTCGTCGCAGGAGCTCGCTCGAATGAAGTGATCTCACTGTGTGTTCTTTTTCTATACCCGACGACTTTTGTTTGATACTGATTGTAGACTGATAGGATTGTTTTCATTTTGATAATCCATGTTGTGACAAGCGGTTTGAGATTCGCTAACATGATGTAAAGCAAAAACTGCTTGAGATTTCTACATCAATGTTGCCGAAATAAAAGTAAATTACAATCAGTTGACAGTCGCCATTAGGCAACAACCGTCCTGCACAAAACGTGAAAGTAGAGTAGGTTACTGCTTTCGAGCGGACTTCACTGAGGAGGATTCGACTCGTGTGACCACGAAAACCAAGGGACGAGAACGAAAGACTGGTAACAACAAATTCCAATCATCGAGTCTGAAAAAGACGAACACGTTGAAACATCAGTTGAATAAACACCAATATCAACCTCTTGTATGCCGAAAAATCAGAATCACTTTTGACACGTTATTGACCGGTCTCATAGTGTGTTTTTTTCACTGTGTGGATTCCACTACTTCTAGCAATCTACTACGTTTTTTCTTGACAGGTTATAGCGGACAATTCGACTTTTCGTCTTCTTCTTGAACGTAAAATATTGAAAAATACTAATTGATCGTAACTACTTGCAATCTTGAGGATTTTCCGGCTGTAGAGTTCCATAGGAAGCTCGTCGCTGACTGCTGAAGAATGTTAGGGATAAGATTGAGCCCCACAATCGCCGCGGCAAGCATCGCGGCTACTAGGCCGCTCGCTCCGGGAAAAATCAAAATTTTAGCAGATTAATCAGAAAAAATCAAAATTGCAGTCTCTTAATCTCTATACTGTTGGTCGAAAGCCGTCGTGAGGAGTATTTTCATCAAGTTCTGTTTTGGCATACTCCAAGTATGCATAGGCTTTTTTTTTAATCAGTAATCTATTCAGTGACTTTTTGTTCACTGAATTCATTGAGCATTTTAAACCTGTAATCTTCCGAGGTCACCTCTAAAAAGCTAATTCGACAGTTGTCCATAGAAAAATCGTGCGCCATTCTGGAAGTAATGGGGCAGCATTGACCTTCAAGGATGCTATCGACTCCTGAGAAGAAAGGAATACTGGATAAGACGCGAAATCGAAGCGCGGAAACGGTGAAATAACGTGAAAACTTTCTTTCGAGCTTCAGGAGATCCAGTCTTATTGATATTGAAGCAGCTATGTCACGAACACCCATTCAAAGTAGGGTTTTCAAGACAGCAAAATTGTATCTCACTGGAGAAAACTGCTTGAATCCCGACGTATACTGAGCCGTTACCCAAAATACATTATACATATGCTTACATCAATTAAAAAGCTGAACCTTCAAGTGCAACACTGCAAATCAATCGCGCATTTTCTTGTTGATCGAGAGAAAGCACGAAGTCAGTAATAGGAAAGCTGATTGCTATCAAGAAGTCATCAGTAGCCAATGGCCATCAACCACCGTCCTGTGTAAAAATAGGAGAGTTGAGGGCGGTTCTCATCAGAGCAATGCTCCTCTAAAGAAGATCCGACTAGAAGCAACGAAGGCGAAGACCACAACGAGGGCGAGCGACTGTGGAGCATTAGCTCAAATAAACAGTCTCTGGAGAAGATGAAACATTGGAGGCGATTCGAACCCGTATTACTCCCTTTCCGGTGGCGCGTGCTAAGTATTGCACTACCGACACTCGTTCTACAATCACTCTTTTCTGCGACACAGATGTATCGATCTGTCAGTAATCAGCCGTCAATGGTTTGACCTGACAAACCGATATCGGCATTGAACTCAGTCTCAATTGCAGATACTATATAAATGTATTCAACCGAAACCTTTCTATCAACCTCTTGTAACAGTGTTGTATTGGCTGTTTAGACAGTTTCGGGTTAATCTTCAGCAACGAAAGTTGCTAAATCGATGTAGAATGCTCGATTTTACACGAGATTTTTCAAGTGGGACTTTTACGAGGAACAGCTCACATCTGGGTTATAACTGTCTTCAGCAGTGATGACAATATAGTGTAAGCAAGCTGCCGATATATAGTTGAGCCAGTAGATACGAAGTTGTACTGTTAATTGGAATACTGGAAGATACGAAGTCAGCGCACCAGTGCCCAAAGGATATCAGCATCGCCTGAATCCTCAACTCACTTATATATGGGCCGATGACAAACATTCTCTCTATCCGAACATAGAAGCCGTATCACAGATAACAAGTGTGATCACAGAGGATTCCTAGAAACATCCGATGGTAGGAAATATAAAATGTTGCAAAACAGACGCTGCGATGAAAACACACAAAGGGGCCTCTACCATGTTCACTTGAGAGCGATTTTATCGCCTAGGAATAGCCTACAGTATAAGTTGATGAAAATCTTGAAGTGAATGTTTAAGAAGATTAAGCTAAGGTAGCAACAACTGTAGGTACCAGTTAGTGCAGGAAATACACAATAACAAGGAAATAGTGACTATTCAAGAATATTTACCATAGTTCCGCTCCAGGAAATAAGATGACGAGATGATGTGTTGCACCGTTGGAAAAATCCGATCTGAGCTGCTCGTGTAATCTTTCTGCTATGACTGCTTCCTCTACGGTTTAACGGTAGTTGTGCAGTGACATTCGGTGAATTCATCTTGCCAGTGTTAGCTAACAAATACATGTCGGCGCCCGGCTGCAAGGCGATAGCCAGCCATCCGTCAGTCGACACTAAAGCTGCTATGACTCATTATTGCCTGATTATGCAAATAGATTATTAAACTTTTGATGATGTGCTATAGAAACATGGCAGACAGGGAGAATAGCAGATAAGCAGGGGAATAACTGCTTTACTACCACCCGCGAGGAGCTGCGTGGATCCTTAGCTTGTTCAATTGGCGTAGATGTTCTACGACGCCTCTTTCATGGGATTTTTTCTTGTTCTCTTTCTTTGGCTGCTTGTGGTGTAACGAATGCATCGTAAGG